GGAATGGGTCGTGAAACTCGTGAAACTTGTGCATGTGTGGTTTTGTTTTTACATGATCCAGCCTTGTCTTTAACCACAGCACGATGGGATTTCAACTCACATTCACACTCTTTTTTTTAAGAATATATCTCCAGGTACCACTGGTATTATATTCCAACTTGGAAACGGCACCTCCAGACTACATCATATTCACACACCAGTTGGAGAAGAGGGCACAGCAGATGGGTCCATTGCTCATCACAACGTCCACTTGTTCTAAAGGGGAAAGCGGGGGCTTCAGACAGCATGTCTTAAGTTGTGTAATAGGCTTTTTAGTGTCACAAATGAAAGTCACACATTTTTTTTCTCAGGTTGTTTGGCCGCCCCCCCATTTTTACAAAACTCAAAAGATTTGTTCATGCAGTTTAACATCACAGAAGATAAAAATGGGCCGTGCACTTAAATGTTCAACTGTGTCTCTTTTCTATTGAACGTATCAATGACAATTATGGCACTTTTTGATCCGTGACAGCAGTTGCCATGGAGATCTTAACACTTACAAAATCATATTCTGAGTCTTTTGAAACGAGGATTTCTGACTCACTGACAGCTGTCTTCTTTTTTTCCCCGTGTGTTGAAAAATAACTCCACTTCCACATCTCAACAAAGCACCTATTTCATTTTGCCCGCACTGAGCCATCACTTTATATTACAGGTCAACGTTGCGGTGCTTAATTATGTGCCGGCTGCTCAGGGCTCCTAATAACCTGTCATTGAGGGGAATTTGAATGTCACACCATATTGTTGGGGCCTAATGGCAGCGGGCAGATCCACTGATGAGCCGTTTTGGGACAATTACAGCAGATATTCAAATCACAGGTCTGGGTGGGCAGAGGGGGGGGGGTACCTGACCCTGGTTGACCAACTGTGCACATGCACACGCACGCACACACTTGTTGTATCTTGACCCCCATGCCTGACTCATAAAGAGGCCCCCCTCTCTTCTTCTCTCCCTCTTCGTCCCCCCCCCCCCCTTCTTGCTGCTGAAACTGTTTAACTGGAGCCTGATCGCTTTTATTATCCAACTAATCCAGATATCAGCGATTTCATCAGGCCGGGGGAAGATATGCATATCATGAATTATTTTGACACTGGGACCTTTTAATTTTCGCCGGCAATATTTCATCCCACCAATCAGCGCCTGGAGTGGTTGTCGCCGGGCGGACGTGGCGGTGTCAGAGGACGAGACTACCCCCACCCCCCCCTCTGGTGGATCCAAATCATCCCGGGGACAATAATGAGCTATGGCCACGATTATGATGTGCCTGTGTGTGCATGCATCTCATCAAGGGCCCCATGCATGCTGCTGCTGCTGCTGCTAAATGTTTCTGATATATGTATAGTACATTTTAATGATAATACTTTCTCAGTAGTAAACAGTAGGTAATGTTTTGCTGTTACTTACTTTACTACACGTTACTGAGCTGAAGTACAGTTTGAACTATAGCAGCCATAGTAGGTTGCTTTGTGAATTCAGATTTTGCCTTCAGCAAATGTTTTCATGATTAACTAAAACTGTTGAGCTGCAGCTTTAAATGTTGCCCCCATGTAAGTGTAGCATGAAAATAACCAAATATTATTAAATTTCACAATTAATTGTTTTACATGTAATAGTTAAAAGTACATTTTGCTGATGCTCAATGAAATTCAGGACTTTAGCTTTACCCTGTCTCTGCACATTAATATTAATTAGACATGATAAACTTACAGAATATAATCTATTGTGACTCATTACATGAACAACTGTAGTAAAAATTCACCTTGGTCACACAGCTACGACGTAAAATAGTGCTTATAATATATATATATATATATATATATATATATATATATATATATATTAAACCGGCTTTAATATATAATACTGACAGGAGCCATTCTGGATTATAAGAAGGGGCTATTACCTTTGAGCATGTTGAAGTTCATTTTAATACTGAATTATTACTGGCAGTGAAAAATATGTTGTGGTACTGAATACCACATTCTAATAAGACGTACTTCATTGAGGAATTGTTGCTAATAGTTTTCTCAGTAATAACCAATATATTTATATATATATATATATAATTTATTTATTTATTTTATTCTCCAAGACGCTGGAACACTGGAACCTGAGAGCAGCCGAAAGCTTTAAAATCTTTAAAGATAAGCCTGAAACCTTTCTCTTTAGCCTGGCTTTTCATTTATAGACACTACACTATTGCATCTATGTTGTAAACACATTTATATAATCATTCAATTACAATCCTCTCTGTTGGTCTCCACCTTTCGCTTTCGCTTTAAAAGATCATCCCACTGAAAATCATACAGAATCTGCATAAGTCACACTCACAATATGGGGAGTTGTCGTCCTTCTTGGGACAAAAAGTAAGTCCAGATAACATAAATCATTAATCACAAGGTGAAGAAATGCTTCAAGGTCAGGTCTAGGTTAAAGTCAGGTTTAGGTTAAGGTTAAAGAAATAGTTAGGCAAGTAGTAACTATGGTTACGGTTTGAGTAAGTTTTCAGGATATCAATGTGAGTCAGTGTAATGTCCCCTGAAGCCATGGCGACACGACTGAGTGTGTGTGTGTGTCTGATGTGTGCTCTGTGTAACTTAATACTCTGTGTCTTTACCCAGCTCCCTGTGGAGCGGGTATTACGTGCACAAATTGGATGCTCAAACAGTCAGTCCCTGACCTTCCCTCATCTCGGATGTTGACCCCCGTATAAAGAGAGACATTACATCTCGTTACACAACAACACGGCTCCGGCGCTTCGCTGCAGATAGAGAAAAATGTCTCAATTAAATCTTCGCCGGGGCCCCCTGCAGAAGAGTTATCGTCGCCCCGGCAGCGCTGATCGCTACACTCACACATCCTCAAAAGTTATTTGACATAAATTGCCGGAGTCACATCATTTCCCGCCACACTCTGAACGGGATTTACGGCTGATCCCATTGACTGGGAGCTGAACCTCCAATAAAATTCCTCAAGAGCCCGTGGGGCCGTGAGACGCACCTATCTCCCCCCCACCATCAGGCCCTCTCCGCCCCTGCTCAGATTAACCATGCAAACACGCACAGGTGGTGGTGGAGAGAATAAGGGAGGGGTGATACCGACATCACATTCATGCACATATATGCAACTGATATGGCCCTGCAGGGTGAATGAAGCCTGTGTACACGCAGGACTGATTGTGTTTGATCTGATATGAGATGGAGCAGAGGTGAAACTGTAAAGCAGCTTATCCGATTCAAAGAACTCAAGAAGGGGTGAAAGGGAAATTATCTGTGGCTTTAATATGAAAATGAGAGGGGAGAGCCTCTTTATGATCTCTGGAGGATGTCCTCTTGTGTGCTAAGACCTCCTGAGAGAAGTGATACCATCATAAGGCAGCCTATGAGCCCTTAAATAAAATCATTTAGAGCTGGAAACTGCTGAACATTAGTACTCAGGCGTTTGAGAGAAAGGTGCACACTGTATTAAGCACTAAAAACAACCTTATGGCTGCATTAGGCCACAGATATTAGAGTCTGAAGTGGACAGAGAGGCGCATCGTGCAGTTTGTTAAATGCAGTTTCAACATAGCTGTACATACAGAGTAATATATGGATTGTTAGTGTTGTTAGTGTGTTCATCAGTTGTACTCTGGACCTCACATGCTCTCATTCGTTCTTTGTCAGGCTTGCTGTCTCTCTCTAGTGGTCATGAGTGAGAAATACGATGCCTCACGGGTCATACAGACAATGTATTCACTCACTGTGACTGGTTGATATTAACCACAGGATGTTTGTGGCTTTTCCACTGGACACAAAATCATTGATAAGTTAAAAATATTAAAAGCATTGCATAGCATCTGCTATTTTTAGATTGTGGCAACAGCCACAACAAACAACATGGTTGAGAAGTCCTTAAAGTGATCAGAAAAATAAGAAATTTCCATTTCTACAAACTGCTTGACTTCTGAGAAAAACAGCACTTTACATTAAATCATGCAGTATGACTAAAAGCTTCGGTGCAGAAAGTGATTGGACCTGGAGATGAGACTGTTAGAAGAATCAGATTGTCTCCAAAGAGACTGAACATGCCTGCTTGTTGTTTTTACCCTTAACTCTGTGTTATAAGTCATACCTCAACATTTGAATACAAGAAAAGTGAAACTTTTACATAGCTTAAAACATCTTAAATCTAAAAAATCTTATTTAAATCTCATTTAATTTTTCAACTTTAAAATATTTGAATCTGTATCTTGTCTCACTGAAGGCTCAGCAGCAGCAGCAGCAGCAGCTGGAGACCCTGCAGCAACTGCTGCTGCTGCTTGCCTACCAGCACCGTGGCTGGGGGAGGTGGTGGTGGTCAGGCTACAGAATCACCCTGGGGCACCTCACTTATGCACCAGTAAAGAAAACTGAATTTCCCCCCCTCTCGCTCTCTCTGCTGAGGATGGTTTGCTGCCCTCAGCAATTTGATTTGACAAAGTGAGGTCTGCAGCGCTGCAGTGAACTGCACACACCAGGGACATGAGACAACCGGATTATCACGAGAGAGAACTACTGAGAATCACAGGTCGACACTTGTCATAGACACTTAAGTCTGAGTATGATGCGAAGAATAAAAGAAGCAGCAGACAAAGTTTGATTTTAAGTTTATCATTGTTTGCATTAACGGTGTATGGGAATCTACAGTATTAGGATCTGCATTACAGCACATTATATTACATAGGATGACGTCTGTACATGTTACATTTCGGATGATGTAGTATGCGGTTCGTTGTCAGACAGATTCATTGAATAAAACAGTAAAGGGAAATTTACACTTTGATCAGCACATGGAGTTTTTAGAAAAACTAAACGTTCAAGGATTCTCTCTGTGAGCAGAGAAGAGACCAAAATATTAACATGAAGACACATGATTAAATTTAGAGATTCATTCCGTGCAAAAATGGACGAATAAAGAATAAATTTTAATACTGATGATGATGATGATCTTATCTTTGACTAATACTTTTTATTCAAAACGTTTTGGAGGCTGATGCAGAACAACGGTCACTACATATAATGCGCAAAAAAATTATTGCTTTTACGGAGAACAGCACCATCAATCCCATCCCATCAGTTTGACCTCAATCAACTGAGACATCTCCGCACCATCAAAACAATAAAACTCACCTGGTCAGCATTACAACTGTCAATGACGCTCACATGAGTCAGTGGAGATGATAATTAGAAGTGGTGGGAGTCAGAGGACTGTAAAGACTGAGAATCCTGAAGTGTAACATAAAATGCAGATATTACAAAAACAGAAAAAGAAATTACTTTGCATCTAACACCCGAGAGACTCAGGCACCATTTACAAAATGTACATAACCACGCCCTTGTTACAGTATGACTACTGCTCACATGACAGCATTAGTGAGTCCTCTTTAAGCGTGTGTGTAAGTGTGTGGACCGACATGATCTTTGCTTTAAGGACACTGCTGGCTAAACTGAAAATTGAACTGAACAGGCGGGTGCACAATACTGTAAAATCTTGGCTGGAGTTCAGGTGCACGAGCAGGCAGCTAACAGGTTTGTCTTCATCATGCGGTTCTACGGCTTTAACTCAAACTACAGAGGACCTTAGTGCTGATGATGTGAGACGGGACAGCGAGAGCAGAGGTAGCCTAAAAATCTGTGCAAGTAACACAAGGAGCTGCCGGCCCATTATCTGCCGCTGCAGAACTCGCATTTGATTTTTGCTGCATTAAAAGCATCATCAGTGGAGCCCTGATTTGAGGAGGGAGTGACGGGTGGTGTATAAACAAGCTCCAGCTCCTCTTTCAGAATGCAACAAACAGTCTTATGCACGTGAGCCAGTGGCTAAAGGGCTGCAGCCTCTTGCTGGTGTCTATTTCACCCTTTCTACTGAAGTGACGTCCCATTGTGAGCTAAAGGTTGATGCGGGGGGGGGGAGCACAAACGTTACATCTGACACTGTCTGAGCTCTTAAATCATTTGAATGAATGAATAAATAATAATTACAGTGACATGTCAACAAAGGCACACACAATGATCACAAATCTAGGCATCAGGCAAAAATTGGCACAAAAGACTCAACATGCTAAAAAATCTGGAGAGGGAAGAAAATAATGAGCTAAATTAGGATTATTAGAAAGAAAAGAATGAAAAATATGAAAAAAATATATAGAGTAAAAGGACAATTATTGGGAAAGATATGAGGAGGACAGCAAATGAAAACCGTGCAAAAAAGAAGAAAATAAAGGAAACTCCCAATTTTTAAACGTACACGAAATCAGCCAAAGAAGAATTAAACACGCCTGGCCACACTTCAGCTCTGTCAATGTAGTGATACACATTTCCATTTGGTTTGGGCTAATTTAAAGTCCCCTGGTTATGTTTTGTGAGATACCATATAGTGTAGAGTTGTATGCATACAGCCAGTTGTGAGGTTTGTAGCTCAATATATACACAACTTAAAGTTATTGCAGGTTCCACTTGGCCGTCCAGCACTTGCTCACATGTGCTTTGTGGAGGGGAGTCTAGACTAGTGTGGAACCGAGAGGCAGGGTTTAGTCTGGGACCAGGCTGAGAGATGCTAAGGCTGCAGCTGGATAGTACTTTTGGAGAAAAATGGGGAGCAGAGGGAGGAACACAGGAAGTGGTCACCAGTAAAAGGAGCGAGTGAGGAAGTTAGCGGCCGTGCTGAGCCAGCCCATGCCGTCTGTGATGGAGCCCACGCGTGTGACAGCCTTGTCCTGCTCCTGGGATGGACTCTCCTCCTCGGGCAGGTAGTCCGGGATGTCTGTGTTCTCCTCGACCAGCACCTCTGAGTCCTCCTGGAATGGCACCACCCGCTACACAAAGACAACAAGTAAAAATAAAAAATCATGTTCACCATGAAACAAACAATTTGTCCAAAATACAGAATCTTACGATTCCAGGATTAATGTCAAACACAGTTGCTCCATTAAAACCCTCATCTGGACTCAGAATACATGACTGAGCCAGGTCTGACCCCTGCTGGCCACATTGTATATCACTACTACCGTATTCTTTACTCATTACTCTCAATCACTGGAGCAACAATTCTCTGCCAATTATTGCACAACAAACACTTGTGAATCTCAAATATTAATAGAACTGAGCAGTTTCAAATGAAGTACAGTTTGGAATGTGCTGCAGGTTGGTAGTGTTGGTAGCGATGCTTTAAAAAAAGATAAACAGGGGGCACAACTGGGACCGGTCATGTGTTTGGCAAAAAAACAACTAGCCTACAGGCTGAGGCAGTGATGTGACCAACTAATCATGTCAGTGTGAATAAGTCTCAGCCAGAGGCAGGAGGGCCACACTCCCCGTACTGAGATGCACACAACGTACAGCCAGCACAACCACCTATTAACTGACTACTCCATATTAAGAGAAATTAATTAGTCTTTCTGCAGCAGTTTACAATCTCACCTCTCCTCCGTCTTCAGTCTTCACCACCTGCTGAGCCGTCATCACTTTGGTGGAGTTGATCGCTGTTCCCAGAGCCTGTGAGAGAAACAGCCCACTTAGATTTTAATTCACGAAAGTCTTCTGAATACCTCTGATTAAATTTAAAATTAGTGCCAAATACTTTCATTAATGATAAATTCTAATTCCCTGAGCAGTGTGAATGACGATGCTTTTCCAAACACAGGTTGATAATAAACTGTTGAGCTTTTAATGCAGCTTGTACCATGGCTAATATTATACTTCTATCCTACACAGCTAACCAATTGGATTCACTATGAGTATGATTTCTGTCAGAGAACATTTATGACTTTAGGCAAACACTTTTCCAAAAACATTTAAAATAGATAAATGGCAGATATTTTCCTTTTTTGGCATCATAATCAATAAATCCTGGTATTATTAAGACAGTATTTATTCCATTATTTAAAACTGGCGCATGCTAAAATAAACCACTTTTAATGACCAAATTAACAACTGATAATAATTTGTTTTCTGGTCAGAATATTGTGTATCCCAAACTTGCTGTGTGGTTTTCTGCCTCTGAACACACACGTACGTACCTCGGCTTTAAGGTCAGAGCGGATCCTGACAACACATCTCTTGACAGCCATCTGGAAGGTGAAGCTGATGACCCCTCGGATCTTTAGTAACGCCCCCTCACACAGGCTCCTTCGAGTCTGACAGCGGACAGGAATCAGGTGAGATGTATGAATAGATGTGTGTGACACAACAGAGCCAAGTGAAGATACGACTGCGGCTTATGAGGAATTTTATAAAGTGTATGACAGGATGCAGAATGAGCTGCAGTTTAATGAAATCAAATTTGGGTATAAATATTTACTGTAAATGTTCAGTTGCTACATATTGAGTGATGCAGTTTACATGACTAGATCTTCCAGCTGCCACATTGATGCGTGTTTCCGCTGTAGTGATAGCGATGCAGCCCACCAGAGGCCGTCTGTCTGCTGTAATGTAATCTGGCTAGATGCAACTTCCTGCAGAGCAGCACTCAGGTTCAATCTCAACGTCCTGCTGTTCAATGCCTGACATTTACAACCTGACCCTTCCACCCCCCTATCTAAAGCTGCTTTCAGACATGTACTGAACTGCTCCGGAGGAGGTGCATGTGTGAAATGTGCAAATGTCCGAGTGAGAGGCCCGGCAGTTTCTGTGGACATTTTCCACCTCCCTAGTTTAAAGTGCATAGAAACTCAGGAGAATTTGATGTAAGAACACATCAGGGGATTCACTGCGAGCGAGTGGGGGGGTTGATGATGCTTATAACGTGTGACAGACGCCTGAATTATGCAGATTTGATGCTGTTGTTGATGTGTCTGTGCAGAGAACCTAATGCTGCATTGTACATGTTTAAAAGGCAAACTGTGGGTAAACTCCGTAGCCAATTCTGCCCAAAAAAAGAGTCATCTTTGCTTCCTACATGAGCTGTGAGCACTTACAGAGTCGTCCAGTCCATCGATGTGCAGCACCACAGTCTTGGCTCTCTTGTTGTTGGAGCCCAGGAAGAACTGAGCTTTACGTCGGCAGGAGGCAGCGTCTGCTTCTGCCTGTTCGGCCTCTTCTTTCCCAGCTGACTGCAGGATTTCATAGATCTCAGAGGCCAGAAGTTTGGTCTCTCCAGGTGAGGTACTTCTTTGGTGAGGATGAGGAAACAAGAAGAGAAGATAAATATCCTGACATGGCAGAAACAAAACTTTTGTAATTCAGTATGTAGGACACTCAATGGTTCAGCTCGCTCTATGCAGCATGTCCTCCATGCTTTCTCAACCTTTACACATCTAAATGTTCACATTTGTATTCTCTTTTTATGAGGTCTCACATCTGGACACAGTGACAGAAAAAACTGAATCTCCCTATTCTTTATTGCACCCAAAGACAATGCAACCATCAAACATTCAGACTTGAGTATATTAATCCAACACCTCAGATTTTTACTGCCCATTAAGCAGAAAAGAAAAATCCACGACAGAGCGTTTTATTGGGCAGCAGTTTTCCTTAAAGAAGCCAAATGAAAGCATTAGCAGTTGTAATGCCAGAACTGCTATACTGTGATGCATCCTGGGATACCCCCATAGGCTATACTGCTTTATGTGTCACTGAGACATCACCCCTTCAATGGTAAACACAAATGACATCAGCTATGTGGCGTGGCTGTCCTCTGAGAGCCTGGTGCTCCCTGGCGCTGTTTGACACATCCAGTCAGCCTTTCAGCAAACAAACACTTTCCTCAATTGATTTATTTATCTCGTCATTGCACTGAATACAAGGCAGCGTCTCCTTGAGCTTCAGACCGTAATGAGATGAAGGAATAAAAATGGTATTCACACCCGTTTCGTGAAACTGTGCTAGATGTTGTTTGACAGCTATGTGTTCTTACTCAGTCAAGCTATGATTGACCTCTGCTCAAAGTCAGATTGACTGGACAGCGAGGAGGGAGAGCCGCTGTTGTCACTGCAGGGCACCTCGTGATGTAACCCCCGACTAGCAGAAGTGACTGGCTTACTCCAGGGCGAGCAAGAGCTCCGCTGCAGGAAGACGAGCGGGGAACAAAACCATACAAGCTACGGTCGGCCACTTCAACATGGGTCTATTTCTATCAGGGTGCTAATGACGAACAGCAAACACTGACCAAAGCTGCCTCCTGACCCTCTGGTAATGCCAGTGGTCTGGAGCACAACGTCACATCAAACCAGTCCTCCCACTTACACATTGCTGGACCAGAACAAGTTTATTATGAAGCTCTTCAAGACAATATAGATAAATATGAAACAATTAAACAATGGGCTGAAACCAAACAAAGAGTTTACAATACACCATGTGTGCAAATTCAGCCATGTCTTTAAACACTACAAATAAAGAGCAACTAAATTGGAACTCAATAATTCTGGAACTTCCCGCTGACCCACACCGTAACTTGATGGGCACTAACTTGGGTTCTACCACACCCCTCCACAAAATTTCATGGAAATAGTTTATGTCGTTTTTTTGTAATCCTGCTAACTCACAACCAACTAACAAAAACAGACGAGAACACAACTTCCTTTGTTAGGCGGTATGGAGATAAATATAAGTATGGTGAGGTGGCAGGATGTATTTAAATCTGTGACATGCAGAAACAGCTATCTGACTGGTTACCACTCTATTCTGAATCAACTTAAATCACCTTCATTCTGACATGGCAAAGGGAAGGGCCTGGAAAAATTGCAGACGGTCACAGATTCACAGTGCAAAACAAAAGAAATCCTCGCTTAAGGTTTTATGTAAAGAAAGTGCACAGCGAGCATGTGTGAGTGTGTGTGTGTGATGTGATGGTGACAGGAACTTGCTTCTGCATGACATTCTGCAAACTCAGCATCATGCCCAACTCGTCCTTCATCTTCTCCCTGTTGGCTCGACATTCTGCCAGGTAGCGCACAGCCTGCAAGGACAAGGGCACCCGTTATCTATCTGCCACTAAAAGCTGACAGACCCTTTGTGATATTATTAAGGGCAAGAGCTTTTCAAATGGACGTGCGTGTGCAATGGTAAAATATTACATAACCAATACATACACATGAACAGACTCCTTGTTTACACTTCACGTGATACCGTGAAAGAGCAGCTATGACGTAAAGCCACACAAATGTGTACGCACTCTACAAGTTATGTTCTGTACAACATGTTGGTGGTAGGGGAAAGAGAGGCTGCTGTATCATGAATCGGTTGTGTTTACACCACAACACAGATAGCAGATGTCACCATTGGACATGGTTTTTAAACATGAAATTCTTTTTAATGCATTCATGTGTCTGTGGCTTAGAGGAACTGGCCTTTAGAGGGTGACCAGAAACTGCTCTGACACCAAAACAGAACCAGTACAGAACTGGGCCGAATTCTAAACCAACAGAAATGTCATCTAACCAACTACTGTAGATATTTCACTGAATGTGTTCATAAATAATTCTCTTTGTATACCAACTTTGTGCTTTTCCTTTCTGTAACAATAATTATATGAATCATAAGCATCCTTATGTCAACATGTACATGGATGCTGCTTACCAGTAGCGCAGAGTAGACGACCTGTGGGTTGGGATGATCCAGAAACAAGATGAGGCCCGGCAGACAGCCGTGATCCTCTACTATGGCCCTCCGGTTCAGGGGGTCTGCGGCAAGGTCTCGCAGCTGGTTCACCACAGTCAGTGCATCCACCTCCGCACTCATGGTGCCTCTTGTCTTGATGCCATGCACATCAAACCAACTCCTTCAACCTACTGAAAAGAGAAGGCAAATGAGGGATGTCACCTTAGACTAATTGTGACTGCAACTAATAGTTATTACTTCCACCAAGGAGGTTTGTCTTTTAGCTGGACGGATTTGCCACGAAACATGATGGACGGAAGCAGTTTGGGTTGGGAAAGATCCCATTACATTGTTATAAGGGTCCGGATTTTTTTTTTTAACTTTCTTTAACATTGCGAGATGGAGTGTTTTTGAACATTTTTGTTGGTTTATATGGGAATTATTAATGGATTGTGATTAAATAAAATCCAGCATCTAGGGGACTGATGTTTATGAGTGTGTGCAATTTGGTGCAGATCCAAATAAATATCCAGGTCAAGTGAAGTTAAATGTGGTTTCATTCAGCCTTGGCGATATGTGCTCTCTTACTGCCATTTCACTTGAACTATAAAATAATCTGACACCTAGAAAATGGGTATTAGTCTCTCTTGATTTCCCCAGTGAGGTCTTTTGTTTCAGACCACAATGGAATTGGCGAAAGTGTTTGTCTTTGTCACGTAAACGTGAATTTACTAAAAGCTGTTGACAAACATTCCTGTGAATTAAATCACCAGTTTAAATCCATTTTTAAAAGGCTGAAGACAACGTGTTTAAGTTAATGAGAAAAATAAAGAGGAACACTCATGCAAACTTTTCCTACCATCCCATGACATGAGTTAATGGAGTGTCAGGGGATTTAACTCTCAGAAATGTCCTCAACTCTCTGACTGACTGATCACTGTTGTGCACTCGCTGGTTGAACTGCTCTGTAAAAGCCTTTACGTGTCACATAAAGGATCACATAGTGCAGCGTGCTAATTGAAGCTCATTGTATAACCCGGCTGTTTAATCCCTGGACTTCACTGTTAGCACACTCGGGGTCAGTGGCGTTAGCAAAAAACAACAACACAACAGCTCGTTTCTGACAAAGACACTTTCTACGACCCCCAACCTCACCTTAAATCACGCCCTGTGCTACAGAGGGGCTTCCGCAGCTAAGCTAAGCTAGGCTAACGTTAGGTGACTGTTGTAGCGTACCTTTTTTGTCAGCGTGTTGTGAAACCATGAGACAACTCCGGCTAAATTCAGAGACGAGAGACGCGACAGTAACGTAACAACAGACAGCTCGGGTCCTGTGTGAATTTAAAAAACAAAGGACAGACAACAGTGAGTCCAGGCCTGCGCTGCTCTCTGCGCTCCGCTGGTGAAGCTAGCAGCTGGTTAAGCTAGCAGCTGGACGCGGTGTTTGGGCTGTTTTTTTCTGCACGTCATCGGGTGCGGCTGTTTTGAGAATCGGGACATCCCAGTTTCCCATAAGGGATCCCAGCGGCTTAAGGCGGGCACGTACCCGCCGGGGAGTGCGGGTAACTATAACGAACAACCCACAACGTTCCTTTGACGGGTGACATGACGGTGTAAGTTTGATCGACCGGCGCGACGCCCAATCATCAGAGAGTTTTGTTTCACATGTTAAATATGATTAGTGGAGGCGCCTGTCAATCACTACAAACAACCAATAGGGAACCTCACATAATTACACCCCACCCCCCTGTAGTGCCTATAATCCAATTGGCTCAGATGTTTTCCATGCACCGCCTCTTGAAGGAATCCAACAAGGTGGAAACATGAAGAAAGTTAGCAGTTAGCAGTTAGCACCCGGCTCGGTGAGTTTGTACCAAAGTCAAATAAGTTCTCAGTTAATATTTAAATGTGTTTATTTTGTTAACACGTCGTCCGCAGTGTTTCCACAGTTTTGTGAGTCTTCGACATATTAATAATTAATTTGTCGACGTTTGGTCAAGTTGTTTGGACTTAGCTGTCGTTAGCATCAGTTAACCACAGTGTCAGCTAAAGTTGGGAGCCAGTGGTTTAATGTAGATTAGCACGTTAGCCTGTAAAGTTAGCTAACATCTGTCTGAGAGGATTTCATAGTGTTTATGCTTCAAGTTTTACAGCAGCTAAGTTCAGCCTAGGATACAAGAATGATAATGTCAATGACAGTTGCTAACACATACCTGTCTACGTCCCACTGTGTTGTTATTCTACGTTTAGAGTGGCTCTGCTTAATTAAACGCGTTGTTTTTGTTCATACCATAAAGTTAACGTACCATGCTGCCACTCGTGGGTCTATTACATAGTCCACCTATTGGAATAAAATCGATCAGAGACATACTAATTCCTTAGTCGATCAAATATTAAGGCATCAGGAAGCAAACAAAACAATCAAACTTTCAAGATCATGCGAATAATCTATTTATCTATCTATTCACAGCGATGATAATATTGGGACGATTTAATGTGTGTAGTTTATACAAAATACAGAATGCCTGTGTAATACTAAGCATATTTGCACAGTTATATTTCAAGTACTTCAAGTAATCCTTGTTGGTTTTAAGTTTTGTTTTTTTTGTGTTGTGTTTTTCTTCCAGACGACCATTTGGTGATAATGCCCTTGGTGTTCAGGCATGTGTGCGTCTGCTCTTGTGAAACATGTCAACAGAAATGAGTAAAGAGTATGGAAGGATTGAAATGGACCTGGTATGTGAGAGTCTGGCCCACAAGTCTTCTGTGTGATTTAAATTTGAAGGATTATTGTCCTCATCATTAAAGTTTCTCAATTATAATGTATGTGAAGTACAAATGAAATATGCTGGTGTTTCCACTTTAATGTATCTTGGAAATACTGCATTTAGTTAAGTAATAGATACATTCTTATTGAAGTATTTTTCTTTTATTTGTGATATAAGTTATGTATTATATGTTTTGTTTTGCAGGCTTCTGGATCTGCCAAGTCCTACGGGTCCTCGAGAAGTATTGTGAGGAGAATAGCTGCTAGTCTTCCCCTCAAACCCTGCCCCAGGGTTCATTTTCAGGTGAAGGAAAAAAAACAGGATCGTCATTAATATAACGTTATGTCATTTAGTCTAAGAACGTATGCCTGGGATATCTTGTATTTTAAGCACGTGGTGATTTCAAGTTCTTTGAGTTTGTCACTATCTTTCTCTTTTGTCCTTTTGAGTCACTGCCATGTGACAGCAAATCACGCACCCTCTTCAACTTCTGTTTACCTCTGCCTGTCTGACTGTTTTCATTTATGAACCATAAACAGAGTGGATGAAGTCACGAGAACAGAGATACATTTGTTCAGGTGTTAACAAATCAGTCTTTTGCAATTTGTCTGTGGCATGTACTTAAAAAAAAAAAGATTTAAATCGTCTTTTCTCTCCTGTCTACTTCAACACTGCTTTCTCTTTTCTCCCTTTCTTCTGGTTCCAGCTGCCCTCCCTAGCTATGTGGAATGCAGTATGTCTGCTTTAGGTCAGTTTGTTCAGCAACCTTTAACAACCTTGAGCTGATTGATACAGAGCTACCTGAACAATTTATTAAAACAGCTCCTCCTTCTCCCTCCCTCTTCTGAACTGCCCTCAGTTGTTCCCAATTACTTTTTATATAATTAAACTCTTTATTAAATAGTTGAAATTTAGTGTGCTGATGTGTGATGTTTTCTTCTGTGGCAGGTTTTTCTTTTCTTGTGTAAAATTGTTTATTGTGGCTCTCTCTCTGACAGCTTCATCCGTACACTGAGAACGGCGGTGTCTTGAGGAGGCAGAACTGTCAGGTGGCCTCTTTGGCTGATGTCGGCTGGATTGACAATGATGACGAGGAGGAGGACGATGATGAGGATGAAGACTACTCTGGCAGACCCAGGTGAGAGGGAGATAATCAACATATTTATTTGATTAGTATCTAGGAAATTGTGATTCTCTTGATCATCTGTAATAATAAACTGTCTCTTTGAAACAGGTCAGGGATTCCATCAGGATTTGTCTTTCGCGCCCAGCAGCCTAATCCTGGGAGAAGACCGTTAACCCGCCGCAGGTCACTGCCCAGCCTGCACCAGGGGGCTTCTGACCCCCAGGGGCCATCAATAGTCAACGATGAGGCCATTCAGAAGATCAGTGCTCTGGAGACAGAACTTGCCAAACTCAGAGCACAGATAGCACAAATCGTGCTGGCTCAGGAAAGGAGCACACAGCCAGGTATCTCCGAACACAACCTCCAAATCAAACACTCAACTCCTCAGTACTGAGTGGAGAGAAATGAGCTATTTGTTTTCCCTCTTTTCTCCCCTGTAATAATAAAAAATAACCACTAGGTGGCAGTAGAATTTCAAAAGTTACACTGCTGTAATATTCCTCTTTGTTTTATTTCCCTTAAGCTGCAACAACAGGACCCCCTCCGCCTCCCCCTGCGCCCTCTGGTACCCTACCTCCCCCTCCCCCACCTCCTCCTCCGCCACCTCTCCCACCACCTCCAAGCCTCCAGCGGACATTTTCAGCCATAGAATTGATAAAAGAGCGCAGAGGGAAGAAGACAGGCGGACAGACAGTTTTGGAGTCAAGGCCGGCAGAATTCCCCAACATGCTCGATGTCCTGAAGGACATCAGCAAAGTCAAGTTGCGATCAGTCAAAAGGTAAGCCTCCACTTCAGACAAATCCAAACCTTCAAATACAGACAAAGTGATTTTTGAAGCCAGAAACCTACAGAAGATGTTGTGTGTATGTTTTCATAGCCGTCCGTTGGAAGGCGATGCCAAAATAAACTCTGGTGGTTCTGTGGATGCCGCCACTCTCATCGCTGAGGCCCTCAAACGCAAGTTCGCCCACCGCTATCGACACGACAGTGGACAAGAGGACAAGGAAGATTTCAAACTTCCAGTTCTGGAAGTGAAGCCTCGAACCGAAACCCCCCTGGTGAGACACTGATTCCCATCGTAATTTCTGATTCTCAGCTAAAAAAAGAGGTTCGTACTTAATTTTGTCTTCTGCCTGTTTTCACAGTTTGGGCAGCACATGTTGAAATCAACTGGAAAAAGGAACTTGCTCTGAACAGCTGTTTTCTGAACTCGGAGTCCAAAAAGTACTGTGGACATTTTAAAGTGCCTTATCAACACTTTTAATATCTGCTGTCTCTGTGTGTGGAAGGACAAGGGCTGCTCCAAGTATCAGTCATCTCTTAAGTGTCACATCTGACGATCATCCTCATGTTTTTTGCACTTTTTAAACATAATATTCACATTCTATTTTAACGGAAGTGATTTTTATTTTTTTGTCTAACTGAATGTCTTTAGTTTTTCTGTTGGACTTAAAATGTATCACAGTCCTGAGAGAAAATGTTAGAAGCACTCAAGTGCAGGTTAAAGGAACACTACACTATCTTTATAAAGTCTTCATTAGGTTTGCATTAAACTTGTTGCACACATCAGTTTTACCCCCCCTTTTCTAACAGGGGTGTAAAAGCTTAAGTTCTTCTACCACAGAAGGAAGCGAGCACTTTCTTATTGTGGGATATTGTGATGTATTGTTTATATATGTATACAGACTAGTGGACTAATTTATAATTGGAATCCATTTATTTATGTTGTGGTTTAAGTAGACTTTTTTTCCCTTAACATAATTATAAATATATTCCTTAGATCAAACTGTTATTTTTTTCATTATGTGTTGATCCTGAGTAAACTGTGTCATAGTTGCTAAACTTGCCACTCATGTTTTTTGTTGGTTCTCATATATGTATCCCGGTTTTAGTTGATGTAATTTATCTCTAATACGATTTGCTTTTAAGAGCCAAAGACATTCCAGTGTTTGACTGCCAAATTTTACCTTTTCATTTCTTGTTTCCCATGATGCTTTAAGGGTGAGGAAAAGATACTCTTACTGCTAAGCAAAGTTCAGGCAGTTTAGGTACATGTGCAGTGTTTTGTTTCTCTATCAGTACCTCTTTTGATAAGATTTGTCTCTCATTGCAGAACACTAACACGTTTCCCAGAACATGGACTCATTGTTCAGTATCAACACTTAACAAATACTGCGATTGTAGATAACTCAAAAAATACATTGCTTATTTAAAGAAGTCATGGGAAGGTACATGCTGTTTTCAGTATTCCAAAGGTTTAAATCATGCCAGTAATCATGTTTTCAAGCCTCAGTCCAGAAATGTGACACGTGATATATCAACTCTTTGCATTTGAGGTTTTTAGGCAGTATTTACTTCAAAATGACTGATTGCACATTGTGACCTGTTTTATTTATGTCTGTGTAGTTGCTGCTTCTAGTCAACTCTTTGAGCCAAGTTTTTATAAGGGAAAGTGGAACAGACGTGTCAGTGATTTAAATTTATAATTCAAAAATCTTGTCTTCCATGAAAATTAATTTGAACTGTAAAGTCTAAATAAAAGTTTATGGTCAGTCCTGACTTTCTTCGTCTCATTGACTATATCCTGTTTATAAAATGCTGGATGTCTCAATTTCTTGCAGCTAAACATTGAGAAGAACGAGGTAATGACTATTGGCTCTGACACATCGAAGCACCTGGGTTCTCTATCCCACAACATTGGATACAAATGTAAAAATCTTGGCACCACCTTGTCTTCATCTGCCTGAGCCAACAGAGTCTACAAAAATGACAGCTCCAACAGAACACAGCAGCCAGACTCCACCAAGTCTGCTAAAGAGAGCAAACTCCTACTTATGTGGCCTGTGACCCCCAGGTGACAGGGCCTTCTCTGTCAGGGTTCCCACTCTTTGGAACAATCTCCCTGAGAAGAAATTCTTTTAAGTCTCTCTCAAAGAATCATTTTATAGCTGTCATTTCACCTAGTTCTGATCTTCAAATGTCTTTTGTTTGCTTTAAACATTTTTATTTGACTTGTAAAGCACCTTGTAAATGTGTTTTAAAATGTGCTATGAAAATAAAGATTAGAGTTAGTCAACTGACTTGTTCAGTTAGGATCCGTCAGAAGTGAAGAACACGATGTCCCACGGTAGAACTGAGCTAAATTATTTCACTAAGTGGTTATTAACATGAGCACTAACTGTGTGAAAGTCAAATATTTGTCAACAACAGGTTTTATTATTCAAATTGTAACTGCAACAGGCATGTATCAAAAATGTCAATACACCAAAGCTCTTACAAAATCTGGCTTGACACTTAAGTCTTCCCAAAAATGGCTGTCGCAACAAATTGTAAACAGTTTTATCAACAGTCTTACAGCACTTACAGCAAAATACAAATCAGCTAAAGTAAGAAAAGCACCTGTTATCTTTCAAAATGTTCAAACACAATTTGTGCCACTGTACAGAATCGAAGTAGACAAACCAAACACAAAGAAATGGAATGTTCAAAGTCACTCGACCATTTTGTTTCCGTACAAAAAGAAGAAGAAAGTAAAGGACAGCTGGAGTTCCTCACAACAAAAGGCCAAGGGATTGGACAGTGCATTCAAAGACAAGCACACCATGCACTTGATGGGAACAAGAGTTGGTTTGGTCACTTAGCATAGTTTGTGCATAGTTATAAGGCATCACTTGAGCAGTCCTTAAGGTTGCATGTGGCTGTGAGAGACAATCTGTGGAGAGGAAGAGTCTCCTTCAGTAGATCCTAGCCAAAAAAACAACACAAAAACAAAAGAAACCTTGCATCACCTGCAGTCGCCTCCTCCTCCTCTCCCTCTTAATAATAAGAGACTTGCAAAACCCCTGAGCGAGTCAAGTTGCGTTGAGCGGAGTTCCAGGTGAGATACATGTGCAGAAAGTTTGTGATCTCCAGTCTGGGAGCTACGCTATCCGAGCTCAACCAGCACTGGAAGATTAAAAAAAAAATAACAGGGCTAATTTCTTTAATACCTTCCAAGACGTCTTGGAGATGTCACGGAGACGAAGCTGCACATTCATCGCCATCTTTATTCTGGAGTGCAGGAACACATTTTAGCGGAGGTGGAGTTACTTATGGCATCTAGTGCGTTTGAGTGAGATTCTGCTCATGGCTTCAACAGTGGGATGACAGTTCAAACAAGTGGTTCTTCACATCTGTGTTTCCGAAGGCAAACCGTCGAGCCAACGTGATTCACTTCAGTTCGAGGGAATAGAAACAACAAATAAGGACTAATGCGTAAACAGTCTTCATAGAGGCAGCAAAAGGACCGGGCTTGTCACATTTTTTTTTCTCGTTTTTACATGAGGAAGAATCTTCAACACAAATGCAACACGGCATTACTCTAAAGTCTTCGGAGGGTCTCGTGTCTGAATACTCAAGTTGCCTCCATCAGTTCAGTTCAGAACATTCTTCAAATCTTTCTTTTCAAATGGCACTTCAAAATACCAGGAAAAAGTCGTCTTCAGTTCGTATACCGCTTTCCCCTTTAAGGTTCACCGACACAAGAAGTGGTGTGTTCAGTCAGTAATGCCAAAACTACAGTGGACAAATAAATAAAACAAAGCAAAAAACAGAAAATACAGCAGTAGCCAAATGAGGTATCTATGTATTGCTCTATGCCAAAAAAAGGAATTAAAAATTAAATAAATTAAATAAAATCAGTGGTTTATCAAGATGGGAGGCAAAAGCAACAAAACATAAACAAGGAGTTGGGATCAGGTGGGGCAGCAGTGGGTCTGTGGGCCGTTGGATGCACCACTCGGCTCCGAGTGTGTGGTGAGGCCACAGGCCAGGGTCAGGGATCAGGAGGCTGAGGTGAAAGGGCACACAAGGAGTGTCAGGATTTTCTGTTTCCCTGAGGTATTTCTTTGGAGCTGGTTCCTGCTGCGGTCGTAGCTGTATTGGTGCCTCGTCGGGCCGCAGCATCTTCCGCCTCCTCGCAAACAAAGCTTTGTTCCTGCTGCAGGCCGCCCCAGCTGGCCTTGTTCAGGCCCATGTGGCCCAGCATGGTCTGAGACAGACGTGTGTCGGAGAAACGAGCCCACTCTGCAAACAGCGGCTCTGCCACATATGTCATGAAGCCTGAGGAGGGAGGAGGAGAGGCGGCAGATGCAGATTAACGTTAAACATTAGACACAGCGAACAAATGTACGAGACGGTAACTTACCTATTTGAATGTTTCCAACTGTGTTTGTCCCTCTGTCACAAAGTGGGCTTACAAGAAGTTTGTGCTTCTTCTCAATGTCTCCTACAAGAGCATTAAGACATTAAATCATGTTATGCCATGTTAATACAACATTTATGTACTTTTATTCGAGAAGGAACACAAAAATAATGAAAAACTAAAGTTATAATAACAGTAAAATATGCAAGTGAGTAATGTAAGATAGATAATGTAACATAATTGAAGAGAACCTTGTTGGAAGAACTCCTGCGTCACTTTCTCGCTCCACTGTTTGCTCAGCTCCCAGGGTCTGCAGGGGTTACAGATGTCTGCACACTTCAGAGCCATCTGCACAGGGTGCCAATAAAAAACAGAACAAGAGCCTGAGGATGAGCTCAGACGCAGAAGTCGTTGCCTGAAAAGCAGAGGAGGTAAACAGACCTGCAGGATGAAGTGTCGGTGGCTGGCTTTGCTTAAGCACAGGTTGTCCTGGTCCAGGTGCAAGCGAAACCTGGACAAGTACTCATTCTGTCTGCTGATGTCTGTGGCCAGGATTAAGGAGCCCAAGTCCCTCTCCAGGTTGAGGCTGTGGGGTCGGAAAGAACATTTATTTCACGACGTCTGTTTTCAGCACAGACTGTGGTATATGTTGGTATTTTCTACACACAGCTCAGTAGAAAAGTGAAGTAACTTCAGGTTCTGAGTGAAATCTAACAAAGCGTGTAGTTGGTAGTTTTATTCTTTATTTCAGAGTCAAACTCACCTGTCCTCAGGAGGCAGGTGGGAGAACAGCCCAGTCTCTCTGACGAGACCCACTGCCGACTTCCAGTGGTGGTTTTCCAGAACCGAGGTATTCTGGGAGTTCAAAAGAAGGAATTGTGAACACACACACAGACACACACACATTCAGTTCTGTCGAGCTAAACCGTGACTGTCATGAGGTCCTACCCTATAGAGTGAAGCTAGATAGTGGTCTGTCTTGATGAGGAAAGGCTGGTTGACCCCAGGATGGTCCAGGTCATGAGTGGCGGCTGCTAACAGTCCCAGCAAGATGTCATAGGAGGTCAGAGACTTTGCGAGCTGCACACACGAGACAGCAACACAAAGGTTAAAATATAATACTCCTTGACCGATTGCTTTTTCTGACTGAACCCGTCCGAGCTTGAGAGATAACTAAACAAGCCCAACCAGAATGCGATGTTCTCCATGATTACAAGCTCAGCCAATCCACACTCTAGTCTGCATGTCTCACCTTGGGTTCCTGCATGTAGCAGTACATGGCCTGCGTGACGTCTGCAGCGTGCACAGCGTTGTGGTAGGGGTTGTCGCTGTGGTAGTCCTCCTGGACCATGACCAGGAACCTCCAGAGTTTGACCATGTCCAGCTGGAAGAGCTCCACCAGGCCGTACTGGTTCAGCAGGTGGGAGGTCAGGGTGATAAGGCCGTTTCCTGAACAAGAGGACGGATCAGATCAGCACAATCTGTTATGTCTTTCAATTTATTTCATTGGGGCATTCTTTTTTACTTCAACTCTTTTTTACTTCAACTCCATTAACTTTCTCTCAAGGACTTGGTTGAGATTTTTGATATTTTTCCTTTTAAGGCAGTAAGCACCGTCGTCCTCGTCTCTGTCTTTGAGGTTCAACGTGTCGAGACAGGTACATGGCAGAAAATGTGCTGTGACTGGAGAACATTCTGATCTAGTGAGGCTGCTGTCAGAGCAGGAATATATGTCATCTTTAATGTTCACCCTATATTAACTTATGCTAATTTTCTGTTGCCGTTGTTGAATTGTTTGTAGGACACCATTGTAGGTGCACTGAAAAAGATATCACGTCTATATCATGTGTTTTGTTGTTGTTTGCATTCGAGGTGTTTTCTTTTTTACAATGTAGAATGTGGTCATTCATTAAAAGTGTTTTCACACAGGACGTCCTCTGTGTTGGTCATCCAACAGATGGCCCCATTGTTAACACTTTGAATCTAAAGCCGACTTGCAGGAATCTCTCGTCAGAGCTGCATTACTTCCGTTATCATGACTTTTTTAAAACAACGTCTGAATATTATTTCACTCACCATTAGTCAACCTGTCAAAGAGGAAAATATCAAAGTTCCAGCTCCCGACTTTTCCCAGCATGCACTACAAAGAGAGGGAAAAGAGACACAATTAGTGAGAAGGTCACGGCAAAGCAGTTAATTATGGTGTCGTTAAATAAACGTGGGTGTCGTACTCTGGCCTGTCCAGTGTAGTCTTCATCTAGGATGTGGAGGGGGATCTGCTGGGGGACTCCTCGCAGCAGGCGGGATGAGTGCAGGTACCTCTGGAAGCTGAGCAGTCTGTGGACCCTCCTCTCAGGAGCAGAGCTGGCCGACGTGG